TGCTCAGAGGGCTGTATGTCCTGTAAATGAACCCTAAACCCTAAACCCTCAACCCTCAACCCTAAAAGGAACCCCATAGAACCCTTAAAGGGATCCCTTAAAAGGAACCCCATAGAACCCTTAAAGGGATGCCCTAAAAGGAACCCCATAGAACCCTTAAAGGGATCCCTTAAAAGGAACCCCATAGAACCCTTAAGGGATCCCCTGAAAGGAACCCCATAGAACCCTTAAAGGGATTCCTTAAAAGGACCCCCAACAGGACCTAACCCTCAAAGGAATCCCTTCGGGGGCTTTATGGAGTTCGGGGTTCTGCAGAAGGGAGAAGGACGTAGGAAGCTACACCTTCACAAGGAACTTTAATTTAGGGTTTAGGGTTTAGGGTTTAGGGTTTAGGGTTTAGGGTTTAGGGGTTTAGGGTTTAGGGTTTAGGGTTTAAGAACCCTTGGCTGCCTCGAGCTCCACGGCCAGGACAACGGTAGCCTCGAGATCCGTCACCACGCACGAGGTCGGAGAGCTAAGGGCCACCTCACAACGAAGAGGCTGTACGCTGTCGGGCTTAGGGGTTAGTGCTTGGAATTTAGGGTTTAGCGTTTAGCGTTGAGGGCTTAGGGTTTAGTGCTTTGGACTCTTTCAAGGCTTCGGGCGTAGGGTTTAGGAGTTGGATCGATCTTGTTGAAAAGGTGCTGTGAACTTTGACTCTCGCTTCGCCGTCGCCCAGCTCATATTTAGGGCATGCACACTAAGGACAAACGCAGAACACCCCTTGGGACTGACTAGCACGGCTTCATGACGCCTTCCAGCAGAAGTTAGTGGGCAATAACCTCGAAACAAAGGATATGCTTTGAATGCCCCTGAGCCATAAACCCTTAAATCGAAACCTTTACCCAAAGGGTCCAAAAACCGTAAGCCCCAAAACCCTAAACCCTAAAGAGGGCCCAGCACAGGCCGGCTGGCAGCTTCCGGTGAAGACCACCTGAGCATAAAGGCGTTAAGGGAGAACCTTCTGCACAGGATAATAAGAGCATCCCGGAAAAGTGCAAAGTAAAGTCTGAGTCAGCTTCTAGCTGAGGTTCAGGGTTGAGGTCAGAGGGTGGTGAGTTGGACAGGGCTGTAGGGTTGCTAGTTCACGGCTAGCCTACATCCGCGACATCCAGCTGACTTACCTATAGAGTTTCATGCCGTGAATAGAGAAAAGCCACCTTAAATCACAGGGGGCTGAATACTGACACTTAAGGCAGACTCCTTGATGTCGCCCTCAACACTAAGTCTAAACTCTCATGCAGGACTCTGTGGGTATGGCCTGGGACAGTTCATCTTGCCCCTCGCTCGACGAAGCATCGGGAATCCAATCCTTGCAGGGCATTCGGCGAACCAGTTTTGCCGGTCGAGGGTTCAGGGCTTAGGGCTTACCCCTACACCCTAAACTAAAGCCCTAAACCTAGGCCTCAAAGTGTTTAGGGTTTCGGGTTTCAGTGATGTGTAGAGTTTTAGGGTTCAAGGGTTGACGGTTTATGGTTGGCGTCATATTCGTTGATTGAGGGGTATTGGGCTCTCTGGGTTTGCCTACTTCCCATACCAACAGAAGACGAACTAAAGGAATCCAGAAGAACACCAAATCAACGGAACCCAGAGCCTTCACAGCCAAAAGGTCCAGTGTTGGAGGGTTCACTTCCTCGGGTGTTTGGGCTCGCTTTAGCTTATGTGGCTCAAGGCTGGCGGCTACAGTAACCCTAAACCTCTCCACCCATGTACGATGTAAACCAAACCGACCTAACCTTAAACCTACCGTAAACCCGCCCCAAACCCGAAACCCTAAACCCCAAACCCTAAACCCGTTACCTAAGGGACTCGGGTTCATACAGGGAAACTGCAAAGAGAAAACTCTGACTGTCGAAACCTGGGTGTGCTGGAGGCTACGAGAATGCCAACCCAGAAAGGTTGCGAACTTGGAGGCCCTAAATAAGGTTGTTTTGAATCTTAGATGCTGATACTAATACCCTTCTACGCCGAACCCTAAACCTAATCCCTGACACCCTAATACGCTGAACCCTAAACCCGAAACCCTCACACCCGACTCATACCCTGGAGTCCTAATCCACCATGACTTCCAATTTGGGGCGCCTCGACTTCCTTGAAAGAGGTAGCAGCTCGGATTAGGGGGTCTTTTGGGGATATGGACCCTCTCCCTAGCGTAGAACCAGAAAGGCCAGGGGACGAGGCCGCAAACCCTGCACCCTAAACCCTACACCCTAAACCCCGAAACCCGCTGAACCTTAAACCCCTAGACCCCAGCTCAGCGGGCGACCAGCTGGTCGGAGGGGCTGATCCGACAGGGCCTGAGATGGCACTGCATCCGATGTGAAGAGCACACATGCTCGAACCTTAATGACTTCTGTGTACACAGCACACCCGTCGGCAAGTCTGCTCCTAACCCGTTCTTGCTTGCTTCCTTGCAGGTTCTAAACTATGCGGCTTCATTGCTCCTGCCATACATCTGTCCAGCTCTGCGCGATAGCAACCAGGAGTTTTCAGTTTTCACTGGAGCCTAAACTACGGAAAAGATCTAAAATCTCGTCGGGGTTTATAGAAGTACCCTACACCCTCAACTTGAACGTAGATACCTGACCTCAAAGGGGTCCCGGCTTGGGCGATCGGGACCCAAACACGCAACCCTAACTAAGTCTACAAAGAGGCTTTGGGGTCTAGAGTTTCAGACAAACTAGCCCCCTAAATACCCAAACCCAAAACCCTAAACCCTGAAACCCTAAAGACCCGCAAACCCAAACCCTAAACCCGGAAACCCGAAGTCCCAAACCGTACTCCACGGTTTAAGGTCTGAAGCTTCGGGGTATAGGGTTTAGGTTTTGGGGTTGGGGGTTTGGGGCTTAGGGCTTCGGGGTTTAGGGTTTAGGGTTTGGGGATTAGGCTTTAGGGTTTGGGGCCTCCGTGCTTCAAAATTTTGGATTTTGGACTTTACAGCTGTGGGGTTTTAGGATTGGGGGGCTGTGCAAACCCTAATCAGCCCTAATCCCTAAAAAACCACAAAGCCTAAAGCCTGGAAACCATAGAACCCCAAGCCCTGAAACCCCAAACCCGAAACCCTAAGCCCTAAACCCTAAACCCTACAACTCCTAAACCCGAAACCCTAAACCCTAAACCCTGCAACTCCTCAACCCGAAACCCTTAAAAACCACCCGGCCGGGAAACGAGGCAAAGGTGAAGCTGTCCGGTGGCGCCCGGAGGATCATCTGTGTCCCAGCAGGCTGCGCCTTTCTGAGAGATTGTTTGGGTTTAGGGTTTAGGGTTTAGGGTTTAGGGTTCGGGGTATTCATGGAAAAGGGTTTGAGGTATTCATGGAAAAAACAATCGTAATACGTCTACATGTTAAGAGAGTTTGGGAGGTAAGATTTGGGAGAATGGAAGGAGTTTCCGTTTACGAGGTTTTACGGGTTTAGGGCTGGAAGGATTCATTTCAACGGGGTCGATAAGGGTTGCTATAGCCGTGTTATACAGGGGCTGCCAACTGGAATACGGTGCTGGGGTGTATTCTAGTATTATAAGTACAAGTGGACTATAAGGGGATGTAGTATATGGTAGTTGTTCAGACCTCTGTATCGCTAGAAAGGGGTTTTGGTCTTGGTGAGTGTTCTGGTGTAGTCAGACTGAAACTGCTTTCCAAATCTCTCTTAGCAGCTGTATTCGCCGGTAGGACAATGCGTCAGATGATGGCCAAGGGAATTGTGAAAAGGCCATGAAAGCCATAAGGGTAAATGAAACAGGAGGGCAGGTTGAAGATGACAGGTACGGGTTTAGGGTTTAGGGAGTGGGCGAAACCTCCTTTCTCCTAAGTTGCCTCAAGCATGGGAGATGTTGCAAAAAAACCTCCTTCCCTAGGTGGATCATCCAGGATGTTGTCCTTTTTAAACCCTAAATCCTACACTCTAAGGCCATAGTACACCCAAAGGGAAAACTACGTACTCAGTCATCAATTTCCCCAGGAGCCCTGTGTAGATTTAACCACAAACTGTAGGACCTAGCACACTCAACCACCCTCTATTACGGTTTAGGATTTAAGGTTTAGGATTTAAGGCTTAAGGTTTAGGGCACTATCGCCAAATAGCGTATATACGCAGTCTGGATTAAGGACCATAAAGGCTCTGTTAAAGTGTGCCAACAGTCCTTATTTGATAGGACATGATAGACCTAACGGTTTGGGCTTCGGGTTTAGGTCATAACCTTAAACCCTAAATATGTAGACCCCGGCAACTTTAATTGTGATCTATTACTGAATTGAAGGCTCTCTGCGCATAGGCCCCCAGTTCAACTGAGTTCGGGGGCCCGGGATTCACTATCAGCTTTGTGGCTTTCGGGCTTAGGGTTTAGAGTTTCGGGTTTAGGAGGGTTCTTGCGAGTCTGGGCTTCACGGGGTTAGGGTTTAAGATTTAGGGCTTCTGCAGTGGAAGTTGGTGCGGAATGTGGTCGGTGTGTCATCGGTGTGTTTGTGGGTCGAGGGCTTAGGGTTCAGGGGTTTACGGTTTAGGGTTTAGGGTCTAGGGTCTCTGGGTGAGGTCCTTTCGGTGGGTTTAGGGGTTTAGGGTTTTGGGTTCAAGTATTTTGGACTTGGACTGGTCTCAAAGCGTTGGGACTTACTATAGAGGCCTCAATAATTAGAACAGGGCTTTGGGGCCCATTATACTATAATGTAACCCCCACAATGATATTGGTAATAACCCTAAACCCTAAACCCTAAACCCTAAACCTAACCCCTAAACCCTGAACCCTAGACCCTTTAATTATTTAGGCCCCTACATTACCCAAAGCCCGCTTGACTTCTGGGAAGGGAAGAACTGCCCTGATTCGTTCACAGCCACCACGGCGATCACTGCTGGATGGCGTCTCGCTGCACGGCTACAAGGATCAACACGCCTGAAAGCAACTTTAGGGTTTAGGGTTTAGGGTTTAGGGGGCGCAGCAGAAACACGACATGTGGCCTGGCGGTGCTAAGCATTTCTCAGCTGCTTTTGCAAGGCGCTGCTGTCTCCGCCATGCGCTGGCGATCCCCAGGTCACGACCGAACCGTCAGAAAGAACGGCAGCAAATGCAGCACATGAGGCTTGAATCTGTTGCACATTCTTAAGCTGCTCTTGTACTGCACTGCTGTCACCGCCTCTTGCTGGGTTACCCCAAGTGACGACGGATCCATCTCTGAGAATGGCAGCAAAGGCGGTGTCCGTGGCTTGAACCTGTTGTACACACTTCAGCTTTTCTTGAACGTCGCTGCAGAAACCGCCGCTGGCTGCCCGACCCCATGTCACGACGGACCCATCCACCAGAATGGCAGCAAATGCAGCACACGAGGCTTGAATTTGTTGGACATTCTTCAGCTGCTCTTGCACAGCGCCGCTATCACCACCGCTGTCTGAGTCACCCCAAGTTACGACGGATCCCTCTCGAAGAATGGCAGCAAAAGCTGTTTCTGTGGCTTGAATCTGTACTACATTCTTAAGCTGCTCCTGCACATCACTGCTGTCACCACCGTCCCGTGCAAAACCCCAGGTCACGACGGATCCATCTCTAAGAAGCGCGCTAAAGGCAGATCTTGAAGCTTGAATCTGCTCAACATGTATCAACCGCTCTTGCACATAGCTGCTGTCACCACCATTCGCCGTACGACCCCACGTCACGACCGATCCGTCGCCAAGAATTGCAGCAAAAGCGCCCAACGAAGCTTGAACCTGTTGTACATCCTTCAGCTTGTCTTGCACAGCATTGCAGTCGCAATTCGGCTCACCCCAGGTTACAACGGATCCGTCTCTGAGAATGGCAGCAAAAGCACTGCACGAGGCTTGAATCTGCTCAACGTTCTTCAGGCGTGCCTGCACAGCCCTGCTGTCGCCACCGCAGTCTGACTCGCCCCAGGTCACGACAGATCCATCTGAAAGAACAGCAGCAAAAGCTGTGGCCGTGGCCTGAATCTGTTGCACGTTCTCCAGCCTTTTCTGCACACCAGTACTGTCACCACCAAATTCCGGAGCACCCCAAGCAGCAACAGAACCATCGCCAAGAATGGCAGCAAAAGCACCGCGCGTAGCTTGGATCTGTTGCACATTCTTCAGCTGCTTTTGCACTGAGCTGCTGTCACCTCCACATGCCGCATGACCCCAAGTAACGACGGATCCATCACCCAGGGTCGCCGCAAAAGCATGGAGGGCACCCTTCACGGAAATCTGGCTGATCTGCAAGGTCAAGGAGTCCCCGACCTTCAGTCGGGCTTCCCTAAGTGTGGTGGACACATCCATCACATGTCCGGAGGAGCCCACCAGCCTCCCATGCCCAACTCCCAAAGCCCTCTGTGCCTGTTGCTTTAGCTGTCCCACAGTATCATCCAGCCCTGCTGGAAGTGAGACAGTCCTGCCGCTGATGAGTCCAACCTCCAGAATGACGGACATCTCGTGAGTGAGGCTAGAAATTCACGCTTCCTCTGTCAGAAAAAACCAGCGAGAATCTCTAGACCCTGAACCTTCAGCCGTAAAGCCTAACTCGGGGGCTGACGGCTTGGGATTTTGGGTTTGGGGTTTAGTGTTTGAGGTTAGGCTGTAGGCCTGCAAACTTGGCATGAGCCGGGAGCTATCAACACATGCAGAATGCTTTCGTGGTAGAAACGCCTTCGGACCAGGAAACCCGAAAGATAGGCAGAAAAAAATCTTGCGGCGCAAGTAAGCCCTAGAACCTCAACCTTAAACACTTTACCAAAGCCCTAGACCTCAGTTCTGAACCCAAAACCCTACCACTCTAATCCCTAAACCCTAAACCCTAGCACTCTAACCCCTAAGCATCACGCAGCTTGGGCACCGAGTGTTTGAGTCGCGCTCTACCTGGAAGGACCCGGGCCCTACTGAACCCCCTAGACCCTAAACCCTAAACCCTGAAACCCTATACCCTTGGCCCTAAAACCTAAAGCCCTAAACACCTTAAACCTAAAACCCGAAAACCTTTAACTAAACTAACCATATGTATATATGTGCCCTAAGCCCTAAACCCTAATAAACCCTAGCCTAAACCCTACGCCCCTTTCCATGCGGAGTTTTTGGGCTCTTTCAAGCACTCCCTCAGGCATCTCCAAGGTTAGGCTTTGGGGTGAAGGGTTCAGGGTTTGGGGTTGCATATGTTTAGGGTTTAGGACTTTAGGGTTGTATATGGGGTTTAAGGTTTAGGGTTTAGGGCTCTAGGTTTTAGGTTTTAGGGTTGAGGGTTTAGTGCTTTAGGCTTTACGGTTTTGGGGTTAGGGGTTGTATATGGGGGTTTAGGGTTGTTGTGAATTGCGTCCAAAAGTGCACTGAAAACCGTCACACCAGACGCATGTGCTTGTGCAGTTCAAGCACAAGCAGAGAGGCTATAGTAGAAGCCAGAAAGTTGGAACATACAGCATAGGGGATCGTACACTAATCCTCCTAAACCCATGTTCCAACTTTCTGGGATTCGCTGTATGTCAGTCTATGCCCTAAACCCGAAACCCTTGGACACAATGAGCGCGAAGGTAAGCATAGCATTCGCCCACAGGTTGACGCCTCTTTCTCTATCCATGGACAACCGACCTCGAAGTCCGTTTAGGGTTTTGGGTTTTGGGTTTAGGGGTTTAGGGTTTTAGGATTTAGGGTTTGGGGTTTGGGTTAGGGGTTTAGGGCGTCTAGGGTTTGTAGGGTCTAGGGGTGCAGGTTTTCAGGGTTTCGGGCCCTAAATCATGAGCTTCAGGCCGAAATTTCATCCTAAACCCCAAAACCTGGCTTCGGGTGGAGCATGTGAGATCTGGATTTCCACGACCTGCAAATGTTCCCATGACCCAATAAGCCCTAAACCCTTAGAATATCGGGGCCTTATTAAATAGAACAGGGTTTGGGGCATATTGTATTATATTATAACTATAGTGAGGAACTCCCCAAATAGTATACCCTGACTAAACCCCGTGCAACTATGCCATGGCTCTCGGGCTCTGTAAGACCTTTCATAGTTTCGGACCGTTAACAGAGAGTCCAGGGTTCAGGGTTATTTGCTCAAAGCTTTAGGGCTTAGGGAAAGGGGGGTTTCAGTTGTGTTCAAGCCCGCCACAAATTGAAGCCTACACCCGAAGACACTTTAGCACCCATGTCCCCGCTAAACCCCAAACCGGCCAGTAACACCCTGAACCCTAAACCCGTAAAACCCTAAACCCTAAACCCTAAGCCCTAAACCCTAAACCCTAAACTCTAAAACCCTAAACCCTAAACCCTAAAACCCTAAACCCTAAACCCTGAAAAATCCTAAACCCTAAACCTTTCGGGCTTAGACCCCAACTTCGGGGCTGAGTACCCTAGCCCAAAAAAGGTTCACCTTTTGAATTATAGTAGGACTATATAAGCTCCAAAAGGTTAAAGGTTACCTACTCAGCCCCTAGGCCTAACAGATAAAGCTTGAAAGAACAGGATCCTAAACCCTAAACCCTGAAACCCTAAAACCCTAAACCTTTCGGGCTTAGACCCCAAACCGAAAACCCTGAACCCTAAAAACCTATACCTGGAACTCTGGGCTTGGACCCCAAGAACCGGACCCCGTCGCGCCTCTGGGAGGACCAGGCGCACGGAAAGGTTCGCGCGCTGAGGCCCGGCCTTGGTGTAGGCTTCGTGGTTTAGGTTTAGTTGAGGGTTTAGGGTTTAGGGTTTAGGGCTTAGGGCTTAGGGTTTAGGATTTAGGTTTAGGTTTAGTTTAGGGTTTAGGTTAGGGTTTAGGGTTTAGGGTTTAGATTTAGTTTAGGTTTAGTTCAGGGTCTAAGTTTAGTTTAGGTCTAGGTTTAGGTTTAGTTTAGGTTTAGGTTTAGTTTAGGGTTTAGGGCTTAGGTTTAGTTTAGGTTAAGGTTTAGGCTTAGGGGTTCGGGCTTAGGTTTAGTTTAGGTTTAGGGTTTAGGTTTAGATTGAGTTTAGGGTTTAGGGTTCGGGGTGCAAGGTTTAGGGTTTAGGGTCCTGGGCGCTTCAGGTTGCTTGTTCTGCCCTACGGCCCCAAGGGTCCAAACGCTGCATTCCGGGGGTTTCGATGTAGTGAGGGGATATTGCTTACAAACATGCAGACCTCCGTAGGGCTCAACCTAGTACAACAACCTACTACCACAATCGTATTATAGTATAGTCTTGTCCAGTCTCGTCTCTAGTTTTGTATTGTGTAGCACAGTACAGTATAGCCTCTTCTGGTCTGGTCTACTCTAGTCGAGTGCAGTACAGTCTAGTCTTGTCTAGTGTAACACATTATGTAGCATGTAGCATATGGTAGACAGTATAGAGTATAGAGTATAGAGTAAAGAGTATGTAGTAGACAGTATATAGTATACGGCATGGTATAGCATAGTATATAGTAAAGCATAGTATAGTCTAGTCTAGTATAGTATTTTTATCGTATAGAACAGTATAGTCTATCATGCCTCAAACGAGCACCGGACCGAGGAGTGCGGGTCTGTGGAGATTTGGTTGGACACGCGGAAGTCGATCTCGACCGGTTGAGTCAAGTCATAAGACCTCGGTCTCAGTTTCGGGTTTAAGATTTCGGGTTTTTGGATGTCGGGGTGTCAAAGTTTAAGATTCAGGGTGAAAGAGTGAGCATTTAAGATTTAACCAAACAGCCCTAAACCCCAAACCCTAACTCAAGGGTTGAGGTCAAGTCGTACGACCTCGCCAGTTTGGGATGCAAACACCCAATTTCAGTCATCAGGCTATGAACTTCAAATAAATCCCAACGCCTACACCCTAAACCCCTAATCCCAAAGCCTCAACCGTCTAGTTTAGGTATGGCACTCTGAGGGCTCTTCGGGCTTCACAAGGATCTGCATGTGCTCCGTAATCAACCACTTATGTATGGACCAGCCGTTTGGGGGTCTGTACCCTGTAAACAGGTAAACAGGTCAGAGAATCTTAAGAAATAATGCTACGAACAGTTTACTCAAACCCAAGTATTAAGGGCTTGCTGTGTTTGGCGCTTAGCGTAGGGGCTTCTGAAGGTTTCAAGCTTACTTCCTCCGTGTATAAGGAACCGAGCAAAATGAAACTCTCAGAGTAAGGCTAACCTTATAAGAACACAAGACGCTTAGGCCCCCTCTAAACCCTGAAACCCAAACACTAAACTTCGGTATTGCAGAACAAGAGAAATTTCAAAAAATGCGCCGTGCAGGTCCGAACGGCCTGGAATCTTAATGGGGTTGGGGTCGGCATCTACCTGCAGTCTCCGTTGTAGGTCCTCTTTTGGGTTACCTTATAGCTACATGAATATAACATGAATTGTAAACCAAAAAAGCAGCTACAATGGAGTCTGAAGCTACGGTTGATGATATAAATCCTACATTACCCATAATAAGGAATATTCCAGAAGTCCCATAGTTTAGGGCCGTTAAGGTAATGCAGGATTTATATCATCAACGGTAGTATTGAGCATTTGGGGTCCTAGGGGATTGCTCCAAAGTCTGGACCAAGGAGTTAAAAGGTTGCGCCTGGGTCCGGCGTGGAAAGCCCTGCTTGTCCAGTATCCTAAGCGCACCCCAAGATAACTCTTGAGGGTTTAGGGACCCTTAAGCCTAAGCCCTAAACCCTAAACCCTAAACCCTAAACTCTTGAGGCTATGTAGGGATTAGAATACCCCAGAAAGGTTAAAGGTCACCTACTCTACTACTGAGAAACCCTGTCTATCTGCCATGAGAAATATATAACAAGAGATCGAAAAGAACAGTCGAGTATCAGACATTCCCCGCTGGAATATGCAGTGAGCGATATTCTCTACCAGGTTAACCCTAAACCCTAAACCCTAAACCCTAAACGAACGAGATCGAGCATGAGCATGAACGACTCGTTAACGATAGCCATGAAAAAGACGATTGACCGCAGTTGTAGTTGTAGCGCAAACACGGCAATAAGCACGAGTACGCTAAGCCGCAGAACGTGAAATGCAAAAAAACTGACCCTGAACACTAAACTCCTAAACCCTAAATTTAAACCCTAAACTCCTAAACTCTGCACAGTGCCACACTCCAACCATGCATCCCACTGTTGAGGGCGCGACGGAATGTCAGGAGCAATCGCCTGCCGGGGAAGGTGATGGAGATGCATATGCTGAAACTGAAAATGACCATGATGACACTGGTGATGGTGTTGGTGATTGTGGGTGCTTCTCACTGCAGGAAGCGGATCATCTGAGAAATGACTTTGAAAAGTTTCTGAAAGTATGACTGCATAACTTGCTTGGGTGTACCTCGGCACCGACTTAAACTTAACAGCATTGCAGCCAGCTGGCTGTGTTCGGTCATTTTAGGTGATCGCAAAGCCTGGGTGAACTGAAAGCCGTCTACATCGACTCTGCCAAGAAGCCAGTCAAGTAATCAGACCAGCCGTGGCAAACAGGAACATGCCTGCAACAAAGTGTCCACACTAATCATGAGAAG